GCAGGAATGGGTCCTGCTCCTTGCTCTAAGCCCACCTTGCAGTGGCACTTACATCCTTAAGCCCTAAGGACAGATCTGAGATTTGCATCTCTACGCATGCAGAGGTGGAGGGTCTGGAGCAGCTCAGATGGGGCAAGGAGGGGACCACAGGCTGTGGCAGTCCTGCTGACATGGGATCTAGGAAGGAATAGATGGGAGGGAAGTGGGGAAAATGACAAAGGGCACCCAGAGACCCAACATTAGCTGGATCATCTCAGGGGCATCCAGCACAAAGGCCTCTAGCTGTGGCCAAGGCTGCAGTAAGTGTCCTCCTGCCAGCAGGCTGTGACAGGCAGGTAGTTGCAGAGCACACCTGATTTCTGATATGTGTCAGAAGAGCATCATGATAGCCTGAGGATGTGTCGGGAAAGTAGGTGTGCTGGCCTAAGGGACAAGAACCATGAAGATGAGACTCTGGGATAGATGTGCTATTGCAAGAGGTGAGCAGCTCCCAGCAGGCCTCTGCTGTGGAACATGGGAAATTGTCACAGGTGTGCCTCTGTAACGGGTATGTCACCACTGTAGAAATCCACATGATAGATGAGACACCATGCCTTATCTGCTACTGCACGCTATATCCTACCCTTGCAGATGGGTTTCAGGACACACATGACACCATGACTGATGTGCTGTCCTTGACAGAAGAGTTGCAGCTGTGACTATGGGCCACTGGCTGTGCCTCGGCAGCAGATGTGATATCACCATGAGGGAGTAGCCCCACAGAGGCTGTTGTGTGATGCCACCAGCTGCCAGTTTATTCTCCTGGGCCAGAGCTGGCAGCAACCAGACAGCAAGCTGTGGTGAGCCAGGGGCACAGATATTCAGCCCCTGTCCCACTCAGCAGAGCGGTAAGGGATGGAAAAATAGAGAAAGGCTCCCATGACCACCCTTCCCTGCTACAGCTAGCAGTGCTTCAGGCCTTGCATTTGGGAGCTCCCTCACAGGATGGTAGCATCTAGCTGAGCCTGGAGCACAACTTCCCACACATTGCCCCTTGGCTGCATGAGGACCTCACATCCCACCTAAGACCAGGAGTTCCCTGTGGGCTCTAGCCCCAAGGCAAAGTGTGCAAGATGGGGGAAACAGGTTGCTGTAGCCCTTTGGCAGTCTTGTGTGGGGAGAGGGCCTGTGAGTTCCCATGACCCTTACATCCACTGAGGACACAGTGGTGTCTACATGACCGCTGAGCACAGCTACCTGGGGGAAACCCCACCCTATGGCAGCTCAGGGTGTTCACCAGGGATGTGCTGCCTTCCCTGAGCACCTATCTGGCCCCAAAGCCCTGAGGTGACCCAGCTGCTCAGACACAGGCAGTAGCTTCGGGCACCTGCCCCTGGCTAATTTACTTCCTAAAGAGCCAGTTATGCTCCCTCAGGACCCACAGGCCATCACTTATGGGGATGCCCAAGCAGAGAGGTGAGTTAGGAGAGATGACCTGTTGGCACTGCTCAACACAATGATCTGCAGTCCATCCGGGAAAAGGGCTGCACTTCACCAGTTCACACCTCACACACATCCCGATGCAGTCACAGATGGACACAGCAGCATGGATTTATTGAAAACACTGGCACAACTCAGTGCAGCAACAGAGGGACCTGCTGCCGGGATCCTGGCACAACACAGGGCTGGTGTTTCACCAGGGCACTACTTTCCCTTCCCAGTTCAGGAAAGTCCCGGTGTCCTTCTCAGACAGCGAGCAGAGCACCTTCAGCATCCCTTGTATGCTCACATCCATTGTCACTGGGGGCTGCAGGGACAGAGCAGAAACACAGTCATGAGTCCAAGACCTCCTGGAGCTCTCACCTGGCTCCCTCTCAGGCCACTGTCTCCTTGGACCGGGAGCTTGGGGTCTCTAGGATGAGTGAAGGGAGGAGACACCAACACTTCTCAGGAAGACTCCCTGTCTGTCACCTCCTTCCCTCCTGTGCCTCAGGCTCAGGAAATTGTCCAGACAGCTCCATCAGAGCCCACCAGGTCTCAGGATTTTTGGGACGCAGGAGTCTCTGCATTCCTGAACAAATAGCATCCTCTGGACCCGCCCCATCAAAAAAAATAAACCCTACCTTAAGTCCCGAACTGGTCCCCATGTCCGTTTGCACCCAGCCAGGGTGGAGGGCAGCACAGAGGATGCCGTGTTCCCGGTAGCCCAAGGACTGGCACTTGGTGAGCATGTTCAGAGCAGCCTGCAGGGAGATACCCTTAGGATCATAGTGAGGAGGAAAAACAGCCCCCTCCCAAAGGGAAGATGCACAGACGCCAAGGCGGGGGCAGAGCAGGGCAGGCGAGGAGAGCTCCCGGGACACACAGGGCTCCCACAGTCTCCAAGCACAGACACCCAGCGCAGCTGGAGGCTGGTCCCTGCACAGGTCTCAGAGAATGAGTCTGGGACCTGGCCTAGAGCATCTGCGGGCAGGGACAGGAAAGGGCCGAGCGTCATAGTGGGAGAGAAAGAGGCCGCCAAGAACTGGTGCAAGTGGAGAGAAGTGGAGGGAGGGAAGGAGGAGAGTCACAAGAGGGCCTGGAGGCGTTCTGGAGAGAAAATATGTGGAGGTTCATGTCTAGCATAGCGTGGCAGTACCTTGCTGCAGCGATAGGAGATAATTTGCCCCAAATCCCATAAATACACTTCCTCAACGGAGCCGGCAGAGCTGGACATGTTGATGATGGCTGCCCTGCTGCAGCTCAGTTCAGAAGTTGGGCTTCCCTGGGCAGCCTTCTTCAGCAAGGGCAGGAACGCCTGCAAGGAGACGGAAGAAGGGCCTCTGTGCGTGTGGGTCAGAAGAGGACCTGGTGCTTCCACCTTGCATGACACAAGACACAAGCACCAAGTCGGTGAGCAGATTGCTGCTCTCACAGAAGCAGAAGACCGGGTTTGTTCTCCTGGGCACTGACCCATGGTTCCTTGCAATGCCCAGCTGAGCTGGAGAATGCCAGGACAGGAGTCCCTTGGGCAGCAGGCCAGAGAGCAGGCCCTTCCCTTCAGAGTTTCCCATCTGGCTGCAATGTCCCAGCTGGGGAGCTGGTGCTGAGAAGAAGGGATGATCCCCTAGGGCTGAGTTGTCAAGCCACAGCTCTGGGTCCTCACCTGGCTCACCAGCAGGGGCCCAATCGTGTTGGTGGCATACACTTCGGACATGTACTGTGATGTCTCCGTATCTAAAAATGTCAATTTTGCAATTCCAGCGTTGTTGATGAGGAGGTTGAGCCCAGAGCCCTTCAGGTGCTCTGTGA